GCTTGACAATCTCCAGACTCAATATTTTCTCTCTTCTCTTGCAGGCTGTGTATATGTTTTATGCTTTGGCAATTGTCTGCGATGATTTTTTTGTCCCTTCGTTGGAGAAGATTTGTGAAGTAAGTGTTAGAAGATGTTACTTAAGCCTGTGTCCTGCTCTGGCAGCAGTTCTAGAGAGCCTCAGAAGGTGATGATGGTGTATTGACTGTTGTCTTAGAGTGTTCCCCATGCTTCTTGTTCAGTTGCTCAACACTGCCTGTGTACGTTGGCTCAGCTTCATGTTCTCGCCTGCAGGAGATGAGCTGGGAGTCTGCTGGTGGGGGTAAACTTGGCTGATGCTTCCCCTTAGAGCTATCAGTTACCTTAAATAACGTTTCCTGTAAATGCATCATACCACTTATAAAAACTGAGGCAGTGTATAACATAGTGAAGAACACGCTTTCTAGAGCAGTAATTCCCAAACTCAGCTCCCCGGTGGGGCTGGCTACAGTGTGGGTTTCCAGGTGAGCCCAGCAGAGCTTGTCAGCTTGTCCTGTGCTCTGCTGCTTGCTGCTGATGTGCTCCTGCCTCTCCAGCTGAGAAGCCCTGTACTGGAGGTAGGATCCAGCCATCGGAGATGGCAAAAGGGTTGGAGTGTTGTTCATTGTCCAGGCAGGGAGCAGTGCTTTGGTTCAGTTAAGGCTTCGAGCATGTCACTCAGTTCTCCTGGGACATGGAAGATGATAACCTTTTATTTCTTGTTTTCCATGTGGACGTACTGATCCAGAGCATGTCTCTGAGTTTCATATACCTTAAAACTTGGAACCCTCCCAAGCATCAGGTTGGGAAAGAAGCAAGGTCACTTGCGGGGCCTTGCAGCACAGCTGCTGCCACGCCCGGCACAGGGGTTACAGACTGAGGGCTCTCCAGGTGCTCTGGCGCTTCCCGCCGGGATAGCTTCTGTTGCCTTGCCCTTGTGTGTCTTTGCAGATGTCTCTTCAAAAACACTAGGCCCTCCCCTTCAGTGATATAAATTGAAACCCCTGCTGATTAACCCTGGCAGAAATCACGGATCTTGTACCTTACCTTGGAAGTCAGGAGTTCCATACCTTGCGTTGTGTTGCTGTGAGGTGCAAAGCAGCAGGGAGAGCGAGGGCAGCTGTAAAGAAGCTCTTGAACACTTCCAGCAATTGCATGGGGCTCTATCCCTCTTTGGCTAAGGTTGGCACACTGAAATTTTAGAAGACGAGTACATTTTAGCCTAAATCAGCTCAGACAGCTGCAGGGTGAACACAGACCATGTGCCCGAAGTGCCTGCAGGCTCTCTGCAGTGTCAGTCTCTGACGATGTAAATATGGTTTGGTCTTGCTAGGTCAACGTCTCTGTCAGCTGGAGGAGACATGTGCCGATCTGCCTGGCAATAAGTGTCACTCAGCAGGGCACAAGCTGCGCCTGGCCCTGGGAGGAGGTGTGGAAGTTGGCAGTAGAGATCATTTGTGCTGACAGCTCTGATGGTCAGTCTAAATTGACCTGATATTTGGAGTTCAGCACCCTTGCCATAAAGGCCTTTTTTGCATCATCAGAAAATAAGTCCCCAAAAAGTCTCCTAGTATTTCAGCACATAAGTATTCAGGTAACTGAAAGGCAACAACACTACAGTTCTCTCCCAAAAAAGGTTTTTCTCACCCCATAGGTGACCTTGAGGGGCATTCAGGTCCTTTTTATTTATGTATGCCTGCCTTCAAAACATCCAGTTTTTTGTGGTTTGCCCAATGCTCAAGAAGGCAGGGGAAAAGGCTTGGGTCACTTCACAAAGACCTCTGGAGCCTTTGGTAATGTCCACTTTTGCCTGTTTCTCTAGGAAACAGAGGATTTTATGTCTGCTTGATGACAGCAGGTGCTGCCACCCTTGCTTCCGCCAACCAATACTCCCCACCTAAAGAGCCTGTGAAATGAGCAGGCTGACCTGGAGAGCCAGGCTACTTTAGGAGGACACCTGAGTCCTCTTCCATCACTTGATGAGATCTACCATCTGACTACCACCTACTTGTCATATCCAGCACAAAAAAAATTTCAAACCTCTTGCCCGGAGGCTTTTTTTGTCCTGGAGATCAACTGCTAGTTATTCTACTGTTGCTCACAGTTTAGATTCCCTAAATCTAAAATAAATGCCCTTTTTCTGGCTTAATTTCATCTAGTCAGGATAGTGGTTGTTGAGTTAAACCAACATGGCATTTGCGCTCCCAAGTGGGTGTGTTGAGATGATAATTTGTTCCACAAATTTGTTCTGTTTAAGTTCAGATGTACTTAAAATAAAGCCCTGATTTTAATTTGTTTCCTAAAACAGCTTGTACTTGCATTTGCCCCCTACTCTCTGGTATTGCTGTTGGAGTGTTTACATGACACAACCACCTCGTTTGTCAATTGCAAGCATTTGTCTGCAAATACCAGAGAACACATTTTTGCCTCCTACCTCGTGTGCTCTATTTTCTGCTCTATTGTATTAGCTTAATCATCATATGCATGGCAATAAATTATCTAGGAACTGTTCTCGAGGGAACTGACTATAGCTTTAAATAAAACCATCCCGACAGAAAGCACAGCTGGTTTCCTTGGCTCATGATCTTTTCTTTCAAAGGACACCATCGAGTTGCAGGCAGACTATTGTGGGATGACTGTGTCTGTATTTCCATAGAGAATCCTGCAGAGGAAGCTGGCCTTTGGGGATCTACTTCTGATCCTATGAACTTCTACAATTGTTTTAATCCTATTTAGAATAATTTTACATAAAGCTGTGTTTAATCAGATTCCACAAGCTCTTACAGCAGCGCAGCAATACTGTGATCTTCTGTTTTAAAAGTATGGCTGGTCAGGGCCCATCTTGTCCTTTTTCCTTGTCGCTGTAACATACCTACAGTATTTTTCATTATCTGTGTACAGTCAGTGGATAGAGTTACCTGCTCTTACGGGCCTAAGATCCTTGTGGGATCCTCAGATCAGATTGGTGGGAGGATTTCTGCAATTTTGTCTCTGTGCAAATGTCCTTTGGTGCAGAGCCAGTTGTGCTGGGGCAGCACCCCCCCCGCTCTCTGCCCCTGCCCACCCGGTGGCAGCCTCTGTCCCACACATATGGGAGCAACCTGGCTTTGTGTGGGGACAGCTCAGCAGTCTACACTTTGTTTAGCTACTCATTAAACCGGGGAAGGTGCCAGCAAGGCATGTGGTCGTTAGCAGCCTGTGTTCACTGAGCAGCAACTTGTGCAGATGGAGCAGTGACAATGCAGAAAGCATAAAGGGAGTGATTAACCAAGTAAATCTTTGGAAACTGCATATGCTGATGAAGTTTTCTTGGAGTATTTGAACCTCTCCCCTTCCAGAAATCCCTGCTCTAGATAGTCCCTGGACACTGCTAGGGGGCAGCTGTAGGAGGTATCTGTCGATGGTGATCCAAGTGGGTGAGGAGACGTTAAATGGCCAAGGCTGAAATGATGCCAGGGAAGGTGGCTGGGGGTGAACCAAGCCTGAGCCCATCCCTACCCTTTACAGGCTAAAGCAGATGAGAGGACATCTGTAGTATTGGGTTGTGGAGGATACAAAGAGCCGTGATAGGTACAGCTGCCTCACTGTTGTCTGGGCACTGCTCATTCTCCCCCCTCTAAAGGCTGTCGCAGCCACAACGTGCCCTCTCTACAAGATTCTGACTTGAGTAGCCAATGCTCATGGTGCCTTTTTCCACTACACTCAAACTTTATTAATGTAAAACTTTATACATGTGAGCAGTTTCCCACCTTTGGCAGACAGTTTAATGTTCCTAGTTGAATTCCTTCAGCCTCTCAGTTTTGTAATTGTGACTCTGGTCTGTTTTTCTGCAGCGCTTGCATCTCAGCGAAGATGTGGCTGGGGCAACTTTCATGGCAGCAGGAAGCTCTGCTCCTGAGCTGTTTACATCTGTCATAGGTAACTAACCTCTTGCTGCTTCCTGAAACCTCCACATGTCCCTGCCTGTTTTTCAGAGTTGAAATGGGGTTGCTCAATGCCTGTAGCATTCTATATCATACCTGGCCACATGTAGGGCTAATTGTGGGGAGTTCTCACTAGATGAAGTATGAACACCAGAGTGGGGAGAAGAAGATGTGCCATGCTTTCTCATAGCAACGAGTCAGAGCATCAGAGTGCCAAAGCAACTTTCCACTTTTGGGAAGTGTGATCAGTGATGTTGTGCAGATGCTGCCTGGCGCAAGGGGAAAGTGTTTGTGCGGTTTTACTCATCCACATCTCTGTTGGTGGGTGACCATCAGAGCAGTGGTTAGGAGGTTAAGGTGGGTTCTGCATCACCAAGGAGAATTACTCTCAGCTTAGATACTTTCTCCAGAAGATACTTCTAAGTCAATCACATCTATCAGATGCAGAGCACAAATTAAGTCACACAAAGCTTCAAACTCTTGCGAAGACTTAAAACATCGGAACTTAAATTGAACCAAGTTGGGTCTGTATTCTGTTTGTATTGTTAAGGATAGTGCAGTAGCAGAGTGGAAATCAAACCCAGTTCCTTCAGGCAGCTTTGAGAAGCCCGAGTGGTCAGATCATTATCTTGCTGTGGTGTAATCCACCAGATACTGAGTGTCACTTGGTGGGTGACTGCTTCTGTGTAACATGCTTCTGCAAAAGATAAAGTGGGAAAAAAATCTAAACTACACTGGCTGGATAAATACTGTTGGAACCTTAAAAGCAAGTGCTGAATTTAAACAGGCTGACAGCTAGCAGGAGATGGAGTGTTATTTTTAGGCTGACTTCCTAAGGAAAGAATTTTGTGCAGTACCATGATGCATGTGTCTGTCAGTTCATCTCCCTCACCATTAACCTCATTGGCCAATTTTAACCAAATTTGACAGAAGAGCTCTGAAAGGAGCTTGTAACATAGCCCCATAACTCATCCTGAGAGGTATCCTGAGCTTGCAAGTAGCTAGTGGCCAGGCAGCTCTGAATCAGCTCCAGCTCAAGCTTCTGCTTGCCTGTTGAAGCCAGTAGGGCTTGGGGGAAGAGCAGAGTACCAGTGAGGGGGCATCTTATAGGAGATAGTTTCCTGCAGATTTGTGTCTGACCAGCTGCTCCCTTGGAGCTTACTGTTTTTTATGATATCTATACCATGATGTTGAACCACAAGACCAGGAGGTTGGTGACTTAGACACGTCTAAGGTATTTGGTTTTCATTAGACGATGTATCCAGGTTCCCTCAGAACTCAAGTTCTGCCACCTTTATTCACCCTGGTACCATTCTCTGCAAGTTGCCCTATTAAATATGAGAAAAAGCAGAACAGATATGTGTCTTTACATTCATTAATAGGGTGTGAGGTCTGCAGGTTTTTTGTGGAAAAATTCTGCTCTTTGCAATTTACACAACTTGACTTGAACTTGTTTTTCAGGTGTTTTTATCACAAAAGGAGATGTAGGCGTTGGAACCATCGTAGGCTCAGCTGTATTTAACATTCTCTGTATTATTGGCGTGTGTGGGCTTTTTGCAGGACAGGTAAGACCATTTTATGATTCCTAGCAATTCTTGCTTCATCCTGTGCCTTGGCTGTACTGTGAAATAGGCTGCCAGGTTCACAACCTTGCCATAAATTTATCTGGCTTTGTTCTTTTTAATAGGGTCCTGCACTATTCCTCTTGCTTTTTTGAAAGAACAGCAAATGCCAGCTCAGGAATCCTAATCTGCCCAAGATATGTGGGTGGTCAAAAGAATAAAAGTTAGTTATTTAACACCTCCTCTTCGTAGCTATTGAAAAATGCATTGTGTTTAGACCAAAGGAGCCAGGAAGTGTGTGTGCCTCTGGTTGGTAAAAATGCTGGTGAGCCAAGCAAGATGCCTCTGAAAGAGTGATGACACTTCAGGAGCATCACAAAAGATGCTGCCTTTGTGCAAGGTGGTTTCAGACGTGTGCTGAGCTGGCACAACGTTGTTGGTGACTGGCATGACTTCTGAAGTTGTATAGAAAAGACACAGTCTTTGCTTGTAGTCTATCACATTAATTGCATCCCGAATCACAAAATGGTTTATGTGGGAAGGGACCTGCGGAGTATCCAAAGCCCTCACACCACAACCCCCCACCTCAAAGCAGAGGTGGATTGAAAGTTGGCAGATTGCTCAGGGCCTTGTCCAGTCAGGTTTTGAACATTTCCAATGGTGCCCCAACTTTTTTACTCACTAGCAGTAAGGCTGTCCATTCCTAGTATAATTTTTTCTGTTTTCTAGCATGTCAAACTGCTTATTTGAAAGCAATTAATTTGAAATTAATTAAGTTGTGAGATCTGAATTGCAGACACGATTGACTGTATAATTAAGTATCTGAATCTGCATTCACCTCAGCACTTGCCAACATGCCTAGTATTTTTACAGCCTCATGAAGTGTTTTTTGAAGTGTTACTGTGAAGGCTTGTGTGTAAAGAGGAGAAGCAGGATAACATCAGTGCTGGGCAAGAGGGTAACTGGCCCCAGAAGAACTTGAGAGAAAGGACCTGTATAGCTTGATCAGTATAGAGAACCCAAGCAGACAGGTTGGGCTTTCCCTGGAAAGTTTGTAATCCAATTTTATTTGCATTAGCTGTGCATTTTTTCAGGATGAAACCAAACATTTTCTGTGTGGGGAAGCTTCAGGAAAAGCCCACAGTGGTACTTTTTGGCTCCCTAAGCTCCCTTGACTTGCATGGGAAAATGCAGCTGGAAGCAACACAGGCTCCATACATTAGTGGTTCTACTGTAACTCCTACTCTGAAAGCCTGGTTGATTCAGGCCAGTTTTTAATGACCAAAGCTTTCCCAGGGCATGAATCTTTGTTCCCCAGAGGTGTTCTCCTACAATCAGTAGGACTTTTTGTGCAGATTGCTTTTTTGAAGCAAGTGAAGACAATTAACTCTAGCACGATGGCAGAGGAGCTCATTCTTCTAATTTTTACTCTCCATGGCATTGATTGCATGGTTGAAACCTGCTAAAAAATAGCCATAAATCACAGCTTTCAGGGGAAAAGGTTTGCTAGAGTTTGGGGTTTGACAGAGAATGTCAGTCTTCTCAAGAGACCAATTACAGGTGGGAGATGCTTGTTTCTGAAGGATGCAGCACAGCCAGGCTGGGGCTGGGGAGCAGCATGGGCAGCAGCATGTGGTGGGGCACAGCCCTGGGGCTGCTCCACCCCCCGAGGTGCTGGGCTCATAGCGGGGTGAGGAGTTGTCTCCGTGCTGGGGATTGTGGAGCAGCTGCCTGGGGGCAGAGGGCTGGGGAGTGTGGCATCACCTGTGGTGGGGGCTGGGAAGCCCACACCTGAAACCTGCAGGGGTCTTCTGTAGCCTTTCCAGAGGCACTCATTAAGTTTTGCAGAACTGTTTGGTATCATGAGAAAGCCTTTTTTTTTTGTTCAGCTTTCTTTAACTAGTAAAAGGTTGAATTGAAGAATACTGACCAGCTCTCGCCAGGATGTGTTTTATTTTAAACATAGGTTCTAGTATGGATGTGCTATGTTGGATGTATTATTCTTTGGCTTAAGAAAATACTGGGTTTGGCTACATGCACCTTGTTTAAAAAAACGAACAAACCCACAGCCCCCAAAATTTGGAATGCATTTACTTGAACACCAACTCAGATTATTTTTCTAAGCCTTTAATGGGTGGTAAATGCACACTTCTCAGAATAAATCAGAACAGACATCCCACCGCTGGCACTGGAGAAGGAAAGTGCGATGCCCACACCTCCATATGACACTACACTCCTGAAAACTGTGTCAGAAGAGCATTGTTAAGGCTGAAAGTCAAACACTGAAAAGTTAGAAATGGCAGCCTTGAGGTTCCTTGTGCAACCTTAATTTGCCCCCCTGGTGTGTATGTATTATTATACAGTCTTTAATTACAGGATCCCCTGCTGGTTTCTCCACAGGGCCCCTGCCTCCCGCAGTGCACAGAATGGACTTTGCTCACTTAATGAGCAGCTATTCCTTATTTTGTTTTCTCTTCATTGTTCAGTCTGTACCCTTCTGCCTTATTTACTAGGGTCTATTCAAGCCCTGTTCTAGAGGCAGAATTATTAATTTCCTCTTGAACTTCTGCCAATCTCATTGCTATTGTATCTGAGAAGTTGATGAACAATTAATTAATTTTCTCCAAACCTCTGTGAGATGAAGGGATGTTTCAAAGATGGGGAAACAAAGCACAGAGAGATGAAATACAAAAGAATAACTTGTCATTTTAGGGGCCAATTAGAGCTGGCACAGGCCTTTTTTTTCCCCTGGAAGTATACCATCCTGTGGCATGTTCTTTGTTCATCTCCCTCTGGCTCAGATGTTGCTCCTGTTGCTCCACCTCAGCACTGCACAAGCACTTTCTTGATGGGCTGACCCTTGGATTTTGATTAAGTGGCCATCTCAGTGTCCATACAGCCCAGCTCTCCTTGAGACCATTCAGCTGCTTCGGCCATGTGAGCCTCTTTTCTTCTCCTAGATCATGTTCCCGTCTCATGTTCCACCTTCTGCAAAGGAGACACACAAAACACCTCTGTCATCATGAGTCCTGGCTTCATCCCTGGGATCATTCTTGACGTCAATTAAGCAAGTTACTCAATTGCCTCTTCTCCTAACATTTAGTGCTTGCTTTTGCTAGTGTGATGATGTTCCTCTAAGCACCCAGGCAGTCCAGGTTTCTTCCCTTTTCATTTATCTCCCAGGCCACCCCTCCCTATTTCTTGAGGCTTGAGTGAAAAGCTTTCTCCAGATGGATTCGCCCTGCAGATCATGGATCCACCCTGTAGCTCTCTCTGCAGCTTTCTGCCAGGCCCACAGTGGTCTAGCTCCCTTCTTCTCTCCCTCCTCCTCTGCTCTTACCTGATTCCTTCTTTGTCCATGCCAGGCAGGCACCTTTGGAGGTTCAGGAGCCTGCTCTAGATCCATGGCAATCCCATTTTCCAGTGTTTCCATCTCTTCTGCCAGCTGCAGACTTGATGTACTCCACGGCCAGTTCATGTTTGAGCCTTGCAACATATCTGCCTGTACTTTGCCCCCACGCCCCTGTTTTGTCATCCCAGCAGAGACAAAGCCACTGGGAGAAGATTCCTTCTGGACCCTCTAACAAGGCCACTTACCCACCTCAAAAAGTCTCAAATGGGAAGCCCCCCAGTGCCTGTGCACTCTCCTTGCTCCATGAGCTCAACAGGTCCCAGGCTGCCCTGCCTCTTGTTTCCACACACTCCTGCAGTGCTTGTCACCTCTGCCATTGGAGCAGGAGCCCTCCCCAGCCAGGTTCAGGACGTGCTGTTGAGAGCTGTGGGGATCCTGCCCTCCCTGCTCCGCATCCCTGCTGCCCAGCAGACGCTGCCTGAGCCTGGCTCACCAGGGAGGGCGCTGCTGTGTGAAGGGAGAAGTGCTTCATGCTTTGCAGTCCATCTGGAATAGCTTGGGAGCAGGCTGCCAGAAGCCCTCCAGCAAAGCAATAATCAGCAAAGCTTCCACTTTGTTTCTCTGTTTATGTATTTAATTTTGAAATTGTAAGGAATGTATCACCTTAGTAGCTAGAGCCCCGGTCCTGCAAGCAGCTGCAGCCAAGCTCATTTCTGCAGGCTGAGCTGTGTGCAGGCTGGGTGTCTAAAAGCCACCCAACTTGTTCAGCTGCTGTGACTTGCTTGAGGGTTCCCAAAGAACCAAGGTGGTGTCAGAACATGCCTGGAGAGCTGCTCTTGTGCTAAAAAGCAATCAATTCAGAAGAAAATCAGCATTGATGTATCATTGTGCTCCTTTTTTTCTTTGTGTCCCAGCCAGAAATTACAAGGTTGGGCTGGAAAATGGCTTGGTTTGAATGTCAGCAGATTCAGGAGATTAACCATGTGGCTGCCGTGCAGCAGCCTAGAGCTGAACTTTTGTGTGTTACTAGCTCTAGGGAAGGATTAACACAAGCAAGCAAGCAAAATTGCTATAAGTGACCATAAAGACATTTCTGAAAGTGTTAAGTATTATAAATCCCTTGTGTCCTTTTGTTTTTTTTTTAACAGTGATGAAAATGGTAAGAAGTCTCAAATCCAGTATGTCAGAGATACCTCTGCCCATCAGACTCTTAAGAGTGAGGGAGCTTCTTACTGATTTCAAAACCAGGGTGGTTCTAGTTTATATAAAAAATATTAGTGCCGTGGTTTGTTACTGACAAGTGGGAAAGTGTGTTTAAGTAGTCTGAAAGTGACTTGATTTTCTCTTCCAATTAGTGTTGATGACACTTTACAGATCAGCAGTGAGGATTCTGGTCCAGAGGAATTTTTATTTTATTTCTGTCTCTGCTCACTGATATGAGCAATGAAATCTCCTGAGGTCTTTGCCCTTGGCACAGGAGGACCAGTTTTCAAAAGCTGAGGATCAGTGCAGGCTGCCTGCATTTAATGGCCAAACCAAAACCACCTGCAAGGGCTGGATTTTCTAAATTAGCTGAAAATCAGATCTTTTTAAAACATCTTAAACTAGGCCTCTGAAAGCTGAGGAACTTGACCTCTGATGCGTTTTTGAA